GGGTCAAGTCTCCATTTTTTTGTTAACACTTAAATGATGGAAATGTAAATGAAAAATTTATTCCATTTGTCAAAAAAATGGAATCTGAACCCATTCTATAAGAAAATCGAACTTTTCTGAAACAATGTACCAGGGATTGACATTAACGGTTGTCCGATTGCCCGGGACAAGTAAATTCTCAGTTCGGGCAAGTAAAACTATCAATGTGCTTGTCCGATCGGGCAAGTGGATATTTCTGATAGAAATATTTTTTTTAATCTCACATAAGTTTATTACAAACACATTAAATCAAACACTCGATTTCCGCCAAAAACGGGACATTGTTGTTGCATTGTTGCATTCGGAATCCCTCGGTAGTGTTTCTGGATCTTACCTTTATTCAGAAATCGGGTTCGTTATTCTGTTTTCTTTCGTAGTTTAAAAAAATACGATTATCTGTCTGGGTATAATAGTAAGGTATAATTGGATTTAAGAACCTTGATATGGACCTCGATCTGATTGGTTGCTCAATGCTCCTCCATTGTAAAGCCAGTCTGTCTGACAACTTACATTACAGTCTTATAATTATGAAAGAGAGATTACAGAATACTTTCTCTACCCAATTAAGGAATTATAGGAAGGACACCAATTATTCACGGTGCACGATGTATCTTCCTTCTGGTTTCACCTCAATTTTTTAGAGGAAAATTAGAATTTCAAAAATCATAAGAAAATAATATTCCTGCATACTCTGTGTGTTTTCCGGATAGTTACCCTGGTACATGTATATGACAGGAAAGTGTTTTATATACATATACATTTACAAATGTAGCATCACCATCACATCAACATTTTTTTCTGGCAGTTAACTTCAAAACAGAAATTAATTTGTCGACTTTTATATTTACAACAAATTAAGGTACAGTAACTGGGTTTTTTTCTTAAAAATTTTGGGCAACCAAATTTTGCATTCGGACAAGTCAAAATTGTAGTTCACTTGCCAGAAGGACAAGTGGAAATAAAAGTTAATGTCTACCCCTGTGTACGCTTCAACAAACCCGTTCATTTAAATCACACTGACAGACATCTATAACGAATATACTTCGTAGCGTAGTGGTTAACGCCGTCGGTCTTGTTCCAAACCCTAGCTATGGAGAGAGTTCGAATCATACGTGAAGCTTTTTTCTGTTTGTTTTAAAATATCTTAAAACATGAGTGAAAAAATGAATTATTAATAAAATATTTTTAAAAATGAAATACAGAATTAAATGTGTAAAAGATGACATAAACTATATAATAAAAAAAAATATCGCTTTCAGGAACTTTAAGAATTGAGAAATGTCTTTTCTCAGAACGGGGGATTGACATCACTTAATTTGTACGCCTCCATTCTTTAAACAATTCTTCCTTGCACGACTGAGTCGGCCATTTTCCCCGTCTATATATTGAAGTCATTCTCGTTTTTTCATATCGTGATATCAAATAAGAGGCATATATTTTTTATTTACAGAAAAAAGTATGTTCATAGTATATGTCTATATGAATGCTAAATTTAATTTTAAACAGAAATGCGGTAAGGAAAACACAGAAACAAAATATGGAGATAGCGAACAGTAATCAAACTAAAAGAAACAACATTAAAACAACACAAATTCGGAGCAGAGCAATAACATCAGAGGTTGGATCAGGTGCCATTGAAAAGTTAAAATCCCCTGTTGATTGGTCACAACCATCGTGTGCTCTTTGTCATGATCATGAAAACGGAAAACTCCATCGACAAATATGTGTTTAAATAATTGTCTGACAGTTTGGAAAACGTCATTCAGCAATCGCCTTAATGATCGATCATACATGTTGACAAGGTCATTGCGTCAACCAAAGAACTTGAAAAATGAAGTCTTTAAACGAGACTCTTGATATTCCTGTTTCATCAGCTTTTTTTGTTAATAGCATGCCTTGATTAAGAGAATGTTCGTAGGTAGAGCATGCTCTTGCATATCTGATCAATTGATATTAACTCCCTATGTCAGTGGTAAAGCTATATTGCTACATTCGTGTAGATAAGGGAAGTTTATAACAGAAAAGTTGAACATCATGTTTATTTGTCAGTTTCCTTTTCATATGTTCTGCTAGTAAAATACCTATTAAAGTGTCTTATAACTTCAAACACATACATGTACAGTGTAATTACAAATTCACATTTTCGTTACATAATTGCATTTTGGGAGCTAATTTCATTTAGGATGCATGAGTAGAAAACTGACGTTTAGCTTCATTTTTTTTCACAAAAAATACATTTCTTAAATGGTTGGTGATCATTTTGTGACGCTTTGGATCATAATTCGGCTTTAAACAGGCACTAAAATTAAAAGTCTTGGGCCTTTTGGATGAGACCTTAAAACTGATCTTAGGTTCGATGTCACGGAACGCATTTGCAAGATAAGAATTCCTCACTGTTTAATGGCCCTGAGTATCTATAACCAGTACAGGTCTAAATTTGAAGACTAACTGGTATACAGTGACATTCTCAAATGGGACGTAAAACTACATACTGCCACTGATATGTATTTAAAATTAAGATGTTTACAAATATTTTTGGTAAAACACTCTTTCTTTCTCATGTACATTATACACGAATTAGAAAGTGTTCGTACTTAGAACTTAGTAATACATTTCATTCCTGCGTGACATGATAGTTTCCTTTGAGCAGTGAAGGAGAATGTTAATATTTTTTTTATGTTTGAAGACTATTTATTGGTAATTCATGGTTGAGTAGGCTGTAAAAATTAATCAATTTCATTCAAAGAAGATGCCCATGGACCACATCGCTCACCTTTTTACAAAAAAAAAAATCAGAATTTGTATCATCTTTATTTGTAAGGCTCGTTATCTTAATTTCTGCATTTTGAAAAAAATTAAATTTCATTCTTCATCTGGAAATTGTATATAATCGGCTAATAGTTTACATTCCAAGAATGAAATTCTTCAAAATCACATTTCAGTCTTTAATAGAACGCAGTATAATTTCTTAAACAGAAATTTGACTGGGCAAATTTAAAACGGGGCAAAATTTTTAGCAGGTGTAAAAGGGCGAAAATAACACGGGACGAAAATAACCCTGTATAGAGTAATTTTAACATTCCAGTCAACCAATGTGAGTTCGATTTACCCTGCCTTTGCTGGATTCCATATCTGGTTTACATCACTTTTGGCTGTAGAACAGCACATCTGAAGTATCTCCTTTACAGCAGCCTAGTTTAAAGTCATCATTTCGTAAGTGCTATTGACGACGGATTTTTCCGTTCTTTTCCGATCATGACAAGGAGCACATGGCGGGTGTGTCAGGTCGGCAGGGGATGCTCACTCCTCCATGGCACCTGATCCCACCTCTGATGTTTTGGAGGTCTGTGTTTGCACTGCTCCTGTTTTGTATTGTTTTATGGACTTTTGATCTTGAACACTGTTTGTTTTCTCCATATGTTTCACTTTACAGGACTTGGTATTTTGTTAGGCATAAAGACAGGGGCTTGGTAGGCAATTTGCAGGACCCAATAAAAAATCTTTGTTAAGGAATTTCTTTTTGAGTTTTGGACTTATAAATCTCTGAAGGACTGTTAGAAAATTTAAAATCACATTTTTTTTCAAACATCTATAAAATCAAAACGTATTACTTTTCTACATTTTATACAACCATTCCATATGATAAAATAAATCAACAAGATTGGTATGAAAATATTGCATTTGGGTCAATTTATCACAAAGAACATGTACTTTTAACCAGATTCATTTTTAACTGTGATTAATGAACCAACCTCATGTGAAATACTAAACTTGTTGTTCATAATCTTTGGCTAAATTAAATATATTATATTGACCCTAGATTTAATTCTTTGTAGAAAATGTATACTCCTAACCCCCAATTAAATTGCTTTTGGGTCAAGTGATGGAGACTGGGGTTTCAAAATATTATTACTTCAATTATAGCACTTAATTAGACCTCTGTGGTTTAAGGGGGGGGGGGGGGGGGTAAATAATATGCATTTAAAATGTTGATACCCCCAACACACACAGTTTAATTTTTGGTTAAGATGGGTTTCTGAAAATGGATGCCAAATATTGGGATGTAAAATCTTGAATCCCATTGTATTTTATTTGCTTATAAAAGAAGTGTTCAAATATGATCACTATCAAATGTTAATAGTGTTCTGTTACAAATTTATTCTTTTTATTTAGCTTGGAGGAGAAGGGTTTGAGATAACATTGTTGCTGTGAACTATTGAACCCTTATAAGACTACATGTATAATAACAGATAAACAGAAAAGGGTGCTAATATAATTGACATGAAATATTGTCCTATATTATAATTTTTTGTATGGGTAGGGAAAGTTCAAGATAATGTAGCTACAAAATATTGAACAACTTACAGACTTCATCATTTAAGAGATGGGCATCATTCAAAATATCATGCCTATAAAATGTTTAAACATATAAACAATTAAAACTTTCTTTTAATTATTGGAGGGGGGGGGGGGGGTCATAATACATTTACTAAGGCAGCAAATATTTGAACAATTTCAAATTTCACTTCAGTGTTAATTCATAGGAGGAATTTAAAAATATTATGACTGTATGATGTGTTTTCATTTTCTCATTTATAATATTCTGTAAAATCATGTCTTCGTGTAGTTAAAATTTCGAGGTTTGAGGAAAAAATATTGCTTTGTGGGGACTTGATTTCCGGATTGGAGAATGTTTCATAGTAATACATATGAAATTTTAAATTTCATGGTGGTCATAAATTTGTGGGTCTCTCCAAGCCCCGAAAACAATGACTTTAAATCCCCAACAAAAAGTAGTAAGTTCACAGTAGTTGATAATGAGGACCCTTTTGCTTTAATTGCTTTATAAAAAATTCTAACTTATAATGAGTAAATTCAGAGAAGGTAAATGTTCATCTTAATTCAAAAACTGGTATCTTATACCATGGCATTATGCTTTTTCTATCTAATTTTTAACTTACCTGATTTGAGCTTTTTTCTAAGATCCCGATGAACAGATTTTACAAAATCTGCTAGTTTCTTCTTTTCTTCCATTTCTTCACTCATGGCTTCTTCTATCATAACTATCTTGAAAAAGTAAACAGTAAAACTAACATTTTATTGTATGTATAACAACTTAACTATTACAGGTACAATGCTTTTACCGGAATATTTTATCACGCAATTTACTGTAAATCACTTTTTATTCGCGAGAACTTTATTTCCGCGTTATTACGCGAGATGGTATGCTCGCGAAAATTCCATTCTCACGTATAATAGAATTCATTTAGATTATATAGAGCAATGACCACAATTCGTGAAAATTTTGTCTCGCTAATAAACAGTAAATGATGATCCCGCGAAAATAAGGTGTCGCGAAAATAAAGTGATCTACAGTATTCTTTTCTGATCAGTTATACTGTATATCACCACATTTTACCAACAGTTTATATTGATGAAATACTAGGTATTTGATATTAAATAAAACTAGTGCTAATTGTAACGGGGACCGTTACAGATGTTCCCCAAACGCTCCCCAACTCCCTTTTGGTGCCATATTCCCTTTAAGCGCTATTAAATAAGACACACTTTATGCAATTTAGACTTAAACAACATTTTCCCAGAAGAATACAAAATATATTTAAATTTTAGCATTGCACGCGTGCTCATCCGACTGCATGTGCGTAATAACCATATCATCTTGTCTACACTATTAATATATTTTAATATACTTAATATCAAATCAATTAATCCAGAAGTATTAGAAAATACACTCATTTAAGCGTATTTTTAATATTACTCATTTCACGTGCACGCACCTGCATGAGGACTATACCTTCTTGTAGGAGTCTATCATGTCTGTCTATGTTCTAAATCCCATCCTGTTTGGTTGAAAAACAAGGGAGTTATAGCCATTTATAGTTTTAGCCAATAAGATTGCAGCACACGTGCATGCGCGTGTTTTCACGACAATTGTTATATATAATATTGTAGTACATCCTAAAGTATGCATATATTTTAAGTTTCATAGCATTTCGTCAAAAAACAAAAAAAATATTGAGATTTTTGTTTCAGGCAATCAGGACGAAGCGCACGTGCACGTACGTGCATGTATGTGCATGACGACCATACCTTTTTGTAGGAGTTTATTATATCTGTCTATGTTCTAAATCCTATCCTGTTTGGGCGAAAAACAAGGGAGTTATAGCCATTTAAAGTTTAAGCCAATCAGATTGCAGCGCACGTGCATGCGCGTGTTTTCATGACAATTTTGATATATCACATTGTAGAACATCCTAAAGTATGCCTATATTTTAAATTTCATATTTTTTCGTCAAAAAACAGAAAAGATATTGAGATTTTTGTTTCAGCCAATCAGCGTGAAGCGCACGTGCATGCGCGTGAGTTCGTGCTAATTTGACAGCGTCATATTATCTACACAAATAATGTATCTTTATATAATGAGTTTCAAATCATTCAATCAAAAAATGTAAAAGTTATAGCTATATTAAGTATATCGGTCATTTCACTCATATCACGCGCACGCACGTGCATGCGTATGCGCACAAAATGACCTTCGTTCCGCACACCTACACTACACACCTATTAACCCTAAAAAGGTTTTAGCTTAGTTGGGTGAACAGTTTCTGAGAACACTCGCGGACAAAAAAGTACCGGAGAACAAAGAAGAAAAAAAAGAATAACAAGTGCTAATTGTAACGGGGTCCGTTACAGATGTTCCCCAAACGCTCCCGAACTCCCTTTTGGTGTCATATTAAATAAGACAAACTCTATGCATCTGAGATTTTAACAATATTTAAAAGAAGTGTATAAAAATCATTTAAACTTTAGCATTGCACGCGTGCACATGTGTGTGCATTTGCGTCATGACCATATCATCTTGTGTACACAATCTATATTTTTAATACATGAAAATTATTTTAAAAATACGCTCATTCAAGTGTATGTTTGATTTTATTCATTTCACGTGCACGCACGTGCATACATGAGCATGGTGACCATACCTTCTTGTAGAAGTCCATTACATCTATCTATGTTCTAAATTCCACGCCGTTTGGGTGAAAACTAAGGGAGTTATAGCTGTTTAAAGTTTCAGCCAATCAGATTGCAGCACATGTACACGCACATGTATGCATGTGCATGGTGACCATACCTACTTGTAGAAGTCCATAATATCTATCTATATTCCAAATCCCATCCTGTTTGGTTGAAAACCAAGGGAGTTATAGCTGTTTAAAGTTTCAGCCAATCAGATTGCAGCGCACGTGCATGCACGTGTTTTCATGATAATTGCTTTATTTCATGTTGTAGGATATCCTAATGCATGGCTATGTTCAAAATTTCAAAGGATTTCGTCAAAAAACAAGAAAGATATTGAGACTTTAGTTGTAGCCAATCAGAGCAAAGTGCACGTGCATGCGCGTGAGATCTTGCTATTTTCATCATGTCGTCATGTCTTTACTACTAATATATCCTCACATTATGAGTTTCAAAGCATTTCATCTAAAAAAAGAAAAGATGTGGCTATATCTATTATATTGGTCATTTCACGTGTTGCACGTGCACGCTCTTGCAAGCACGTGCGCGCAAAATGACCTTGATTCCGCAAATCTACATAACATGTCTACTAACCCTAAAAAGGTTTTACCTACATCGGACGAACAGTTTACAAGATCATTCCCGGACAAAAAAGTTCCAGGAAGAAGAAGAAGAAAAATAATAATAACTAGCGCTAATTGTAACGGGGACCGTTACAGATGTTCCCCAAACGCTCCCCAACTCCCTTTTGGTGCCATATTCCCTGTTATCTCTATTAAATAAGAAATACTTTATGGAATTTAGACTTAATCAAGGTCTTCCAAAAAAATACAAAATATATTAAAAAAAATAGGCATTGCACGCGTGTTCATGTGCGTATCGACCATATTATCTTGTCTACACTATCTAGAATTTTAATAATATCAAAGCATTTAATCCAAAAGAATTAAAAAATGCACTCATTCGAGTGTATTTTTTATTTTACTCATTTCACGTGCAAGCACGTGCGTAATGACTACACCTTCTTGTAGGAGTCCCTTATGTTTATCCAAGTTCTAAATCCCATCCTGTTTGGTTGAAAAACAAGAGAGTTATAGCCATTTGAAGTTTCAGCCAATCAGATTGCAGCACACGTGCATGCGCGTGATTTCATGAATATTTTCTATATCATATGTTAGGATATCGTAATGCATGACTATGTTTTAAATTTCAAAGCATTTCGTCAAAAAACAAACGAGATATAGCCATTTAAAGTTTTAGCCAATCAGATTACAGCACGCGCGCATGCGCATGCTTTTATTAAAATTTTAATATATCATGCTATAGATCTTCATAATGTAGGACCATGTTCAAAATTTCAAAAGATTATGACAAGAAACAAGAAAGATATTGAGACTTTAGTTTCAGCCAATCAGAGCAAAGCGCACGTGCATGCGCGTGAGATCTTGCTATTTTGACCATGCCATCTTGTCTATACTACTAATGTATCCTTACAATATGAGTTTCAAAGCATTTTATCAAAAAATAGAAAAGTTCCGACTATATCTATTATATTGGTTATTTCAAGTGTTGCACGTGCGCGCTCTTGCAAGCACGTGCGCGCAAAATGACCTTGATTCCGCAAATCTGCATAACATGTCTACTTACCCTAAAAAGGTTTTACCTACCTCGGACGAACAGTTTACAAGATCATTCCCGGACAAAAAAGTACCCAGGAAGAAGAAGAAGAAAAATAATAATAACTAGAAACGATCTCGTTGCGAGCAACGAGAGGTCTTCCGTCTGATTCTGGAAAAAAACTCGTAAAGTCGAGCTGAGAATTGGTTAAACATTTTGGTCACAAATTGAATCCAGGTCGCCAGCGTGAAAATCCAATTCGCTTTTTTCCCCTTTTATCCCCAACGCGCTAACCATTACGCTATTGGGATTACTGCTCTTAATGTACTTGTGTATACTTTTGCTACAGTACACCTGTCTAAGAATTATAAAAGACGGGCCTTTATTCATAATTTCGCGCCAAACGCCACGTCAAATCTTCGCGCCTTTTCTTTGGACTGATCTATTAAAAAGGTGTGATAGCTTCAATGAAATTAAGAAAAAAAGAACGTTCTCATAGCCTACATTTCGAGGTTTAGAAAATATATTTAACACATTGTACACATTCTGTAGAAAAGTAACACAAAAGCAGTGTAATGACTATAATTTAATTTTTTTTTTATTTTCCGTCTCAGAAGTGAACTATGCCGATTAGTTACACTTTCATAAAAAGGTTGAAATGTTTCGCCGAAAAACATGCCTGCCTCGCTCTACGACAGTCAAGGAATCAGATACCATTTATGTTCAATAACTTGATTCAGATCTTTGAGAAAAGAATGTTAATATAAACTCCATTAGACGATCTTATTAAAATGGTTTTCTTATTTTTGTCTTTTCTATTCGTTTAATATCACACAAGTGTGCATGGGAAAAACAGTGGTTATACGTTTTATACTTACTATATACATGCATCGATATTGTTTCTTGAAAAACTATAACTTATAACTATGATTTAAGATCTGTTTTTCCGTCTTGCAAAACAAATGATAATAGGTATCTCTCATTTGCACATTTAGTCTTTTCTTTTTCTACTTTGAGAACCAACCAAAACCAGTTACAGAAGACGTTTGAGAAGACCCTGGAATAAATCTTTAGTTTGACACAGAATTGTAACGTAATTACTACGTGATCTATTAACGCGCAAACCATTAAGCTACTGCTCTAAATATACTTGTGTATACATTTGCAACAGTACACCTGTCTAAGAATTATAATAGGCGGGCCACTATTGATAATTTCGTGCCAAACACCACGAGTAAATATTCGCGTCTTTTCTTTGGACTGATCTATTAAATAGGTGTGATAGCTTCAATGAAATTAAATAAATAAAACGTTCTTATCGCCTTTATTTTATTTCGACGTTAAGAAGGTATATTTAACACATTGTACATATTACATATCGTATCTAGCCCAGTTAAACGGAAATTAAGTTTTA